TTTCATCATCACTGGCTTTAGTGGTTGGTGCATAAATTTGAATAGTAGTGGTATAAATTGGTCTTCCTTGTAGGTATATATAATCCAATCACAGGTAACATTGTACTTCAAGATAGATCTTGAATTACTCATTTTGACTATGAATGTGATGCTATTCCTCTTGAATTTGTGACATAGTAAATGATATGATTGTCAGATTCAAAATGACCAATATCAGTCCATTTTCACTCAATAATGCCTAGTAGTCCTGGTGTGGTGCTATGGGATAATGTACTGGACTACATTATTACACAGCGCCGCAAGGTTGGTAAGTTGGTGGTTAAAGCTCACCAGCTGCTCCTCAGAAACCCTATACAGGGTTGCTGTGAGTTGAAACTGACTCCATGACACTTAACAACAAAATCAGTGTCTAGGTTTTTGATGTTTATGATCATTTCATTTTTGATGACTTCCAGTTTTTCTAGATTCATGCTTTATAATTCCATGTTATAATTATTAATGGATGTTTTCATCTGTTTCTCCTCATTTTGAGTTGTGCCCCATCAACAAATGAAGGCCCTGAAAGCTTTACTCCATTTGCATCATCATGGTCTGAAAGTTCATCTTCCAGCATTATATTTGACAATATTCTGCTGGCATTCATAAAGTTTTCAGTGTCCAAACATTCAGAAGTACTTTACCTCTCTTTCTTCCTAGCCTTTCTTAATCTAGATGTTAGCTGAAACCTGTCCACCATGGGTGACCCTGCTGGTATTTAAAATACCGGTGGTTGCGTAGCTTCCAGCCTCACAGCAACATGCAAGGCATCAGTACAACAAGCTGTCAGACAATTGGTGGTTGTAAAGATGAGTTATTTGTAATATGTTTTTATGTATTTTATCCTATTGAGTCACTTGTGTTTAACCTTATAGTGGTTTCCTTTACTATTCAGAGATTTGTTATATTTATAAAGTGAAATAAATCAACCTAGGATTTCAGGTTTTGAATCTTATATAGGAAAAACTTTTAAATATAAGCTTAAACTTTTTTTCTCCTACAATTTTTCTAATATATGCATAATTTTGCATTTTTCTCTGTTAAATCTTCCTGGAAATTATTATTGTTGTGTATGATGTGAGTTAGGGACCAAACTCAGTTGTCCTAGTACTTAACTCATTTTGTCTCTCTCTTTCACAAGTGATTAAGACAGCACTGCTTTCCTCTGCTGAAAATCCTGCACATATAGTCTGTCTCGACGACGCGCTCATCCAGTCCCAGTTCTTGTACCAGTAGTACTCTGCTTTAAAGAAACTTTAAAACATGCTTGGATGTCTGGTTGAGCAAGCTTTTCTTGAAAAAGTTTTTTAAAGCTACTTTGTTGTTTTCCATCCATGGAAGTATCAGATTCACCTTGTCAATTCCATAAAAAATCCTGACAGCATTTCCCCCAAAATTTTATATAAATACATACATATAGATGTAGATATATTTGGAGTCCTGGTGTGGTGCTGTGGGTTAAATTACTGGACGGCAAGGTTGGAGGTTCAAGTTGTTAAGAGTCATTGAGTTGGTTGGTTCTGACCCATAGCAATCCTGCATAGGGTTTCCGAGGACCAGCTGGTGAGCTTCAACCACCGACCTTCTTGCCTTTCAAACAGACTTTGCAGCCTATCATGTTAATCCACAGCACCATGTATATATTGTTGTTGTTAAGTGCCATCGGGTCGATTCTGACCCATAGCGACCCTGTATAGGGTTTCCAGGGAGCAGCTGGTGAGCTTGAACCGCCGACCTTGCAGTTCAAATGGCTTTGCAGTCTGGCGCATTAACCCACAGCGCCACACCAGTATATATATATATACATATATATATATATAAACATAAAGTAGCTCTGGTAGCATAGTGGTTAAGAATCAGCCTGCTATCCTCAAGGTCAGAAGTTTGAAACTACCAGCTATTCTATGGCAGAAAGATGAGGCTTTCTGCTCTTGTAAAGCTTTACAGCCTTGGAAACCCTGTGCAGGGACACTATGAGTCAGAACCAACTCCACGGCACACTACTACCACCACCAATGCTATTTGGGTTTTGATCCTTTAATTTAATAATGAAATAAATTAGCTTTGGAGATTTCCTAATTTTGAGGCATCTTGACATCATGTCATCAATCATAGCTTTGTCTGTGACAGATGGCAAGGAACTAATTTCCTTAATGTAGAAAGAATTCTTAAAATCCTTTAGAAAGATGGACAAAAAATTATTTATTACAAGATGGTCAGTGACCTATGGATTCCCAGTCATATCATAATGAAATACAGGTTAAGGCAATAGTGGCCCGTGTTTTAATGTAGTAGATTGTTGCTGTTATAAGTGAGTAGAGCTGGTTCTGACCCACAGTGACCCTGTATAGGGTTTCAGAGGAGAGGTTAATGAGTTTGAATCACCAACCTTGTGGTCCAGACGACCTTGTGTTCCCGTGCTTATCATGTAACCCACCCCAGGACTCCACGGCAATGTATTAGAGAACAAACCCTAACATGGTAATAATTCTCAGTCACTAGTGGGGAAATTGAAAATCAGTACAATCTATTTGGAAGACAGTTTGGGATTTTGCTAGCAATATTTTAAATACTTATACCCTTTGCCACAACTATTCCACTTAAGAAATTTAAAATTTCAGAGTCTCAAATGCACAAAAAAATGTGTAGAGAAGGTCCCTGAACCACTGTTACAATTGTTGATAAACTGGAAAAATGCAGATTCTCGATTGTCCTTTAATAAGAGATGAGCTTAGTAAGTTACGATACATCTGAATGTCAGACATGGCAGTGGTTTGAGACTGGGTGAAGATGTAGAGGCTGACATGGAAAGTTATTGAGACTACATCGTTATAGGAACACATCTCAGCGACTTATCTGACAAGCTAACGTACCCACCCACCCACTCCAAACTGGGTGCATAACTATTATTTTTAGTCTTCCTGATTCCAAAATGTTAAGCACTTGACTTTCAGTGTTTGCCAGTTATATGGAAAGAAGCACAGCCATGTGGAGACTGTGTGAGCTGAGAAGCCAACTCATGTTCACATAGGCTCAAGAACGAGTCTGATGGAAGAACCGTGCCCAGTGTCCCTGTCCCTGTCAGCTTGGACAGGCAGCCTGCTCAGTGAGGGGTGGGACTTAGGAGCATTGAGCTCTCAAACAGAACTGTGACGCTGAAGTAATGAATGTGCTTCGATGTAGTGTTCAAGTTAAAACATTTGTGTGCCCATTATGATGGAAATATGCATAAAATAGTTTGACTAGATGATAGCAGTGTATACTAAAGTTTTAGATGGCTATAGTTTCTCAGATTTCATTGAATATTGACATTTTTACATAAAAAGGAGTAAAAATTGTATGTATGGCATGTCAAATCAGTGAGGAGAAATGACAAGTGGTTAGATCTAGTGCTTATTTCACCACAACTTTTATTAATAGTAGTAATAATTACTTTTATTATTACCATAATCATGTAATATCATAAACAAATATAAACCTAACCTAAATCATTATGATACTTGTTTCAATTTACTTTGCATTCTTAAATCAAATCCAAACATTAATTACAACTTGATTTTGGTATTAGAATAACTGTTAGTCATTGCTGTTAAGTGCCATCGAGTTGATTCTTACTCATAGCATCCTATACAGAGTTTCTGAGGAGCATCTGGTGGGTTTGAACCGCCGACCTGTGGTTTTCAGTCCAGTACTGATCCAACAGTGCCACACCAGGAGTCCTTAGCAGCATTATGATTTTCTGAAAAGAAAGGTGATGCTGCTTACGATGATATATTAAATGTCAATAATAGGAGTCGCTGAAATACACAGAACCATGACATCTCATGAAGAAAATACTGTGATAGTTATTTTACAGTTAAGGATATTGATCACTTCAGCTTCTGAAATAAATTTCAGACAGATCAAAAAATCAAGAGTTGATTTTTTGAAAAGGAGCAATAAAAGATCTGTGAGAAAATAAAAGTTGGAAAACATGAAAGTAAGCACCAGTACAAGGCCATGTGGGGTATGTGCCCCCAAGCTGAGGCCGGCCATGAAGTTGGATCCTGAAAGACTGCACAGCTGGTGGGGCCCAACCTGGGCCTGTGCACCCCTCTACAAGCTGACCTTCGGCTTCATTTGAGTGACAGTGACCTGGAGTGGTTCTGGTAGGACACCAGCAGGGAGAGATACCTGGCTCCCAGAGCAGCCACGCCTCCCATTCACACTGCAGATAACTTGGTCTTCAGGCTGGGCTGGGAGGAGCCCTCGACTACTAACCAGAAGGCTGGAGTTTGGAACCTACCCAGAGGGGCCTCAGGTGAAAGAGCTAGTAATGTGCTGCCCAGAGGTCCCAGCCTTGAAACGCATACCGAGTGCAGAGCTCTTCTGTCCACACAGCATCACCGTGAGCCGGAACCAACTCGATGGCAGTGGTGTATTCTCACGTGGGAAGGCTCTGAGAAGGAAAACCCTGTTGGCCAAACATTTACGCAAGAATTACACTAGGTCTTTTGTTCTCACTCTGACATGGTCAGAATTAATTTGTAGGTCCAAAAGTGTTTAGTTTTGTTTTTCACTCTGAGTTGAAATTGTAAAGCAAGGATACAGGGGAAACAAAACCAAGAAACATTGTTTATGTCTATTTAAACGGTTGTAGAATACCCCAGGACATTTCTTCCGGCACCACTTTGTTAGAGAATGGGGCCTCTGGAGGACCCAGACTTCACACCTGGCAGCGGCTGAACAGGCATGGAGACAAGGCAGCCATGGAGCATGGCTGGGGCCTCAGGAGCGTCCAGACACTGTCAGACTCCTAATCTTTTGTTTGTCTTGCTCCTCAGGTTTGGTAAAGAAAAGCTGCTTTCTGCTAACATCTGAAAAGGCTGTCCCAGGGGAAATGGTTTCTTTGGCCCTCCTGGGGCGGTGGTGAAGACTCTGCTGGGAAGAACTCTGACAGCTGAACGCCCAGGGTTACCGTCACCATGGCCAGCAAGAGGAAGTCTACCACACCGTGCATGATCCCTGTGAAGGCAGCGGCACTGCAGGGGGCCAGTGGTGAGGCCCAGCCCTCAGAGACTGTGTCCCAAGGGCCCCAGCAGGATCTCCCCCCTGAAGCACCTGCTGCTAGCAGTGAGGTGACCCAGAATACCAGCAGCACCGATAGCACAGTGCTGGCCAACGGGCATCGGAGCACATTGGATGGGTACTCGTATTCCTGCCAATACTGTGACTTCAGATCCCAGGATGTGACCCAGTTTGTGGGACATATGAACTCAGAGCACACAGAATTTAACAAAGACCCAACTTTTCTATGCACTGAATGCAGTTTTCTGGCAAAAACCCCCGAGGGACTTTCCCTACACAATGCCAAGTGTCACTTGGGGGAAGCTAGCTTTGTGTGGCATGTGGCCAAGCCAGACAATCATGTCATTGTGGAGCAGAGTGTCCCTGAGAATACCAGCAGTCCTGACCTAGCAGGGGAACCCAGCACTGAGGGTACTGACGGACAGGCCGAAATCATCATTACCAAAACTCCAATCATGAAGATAATGAAAGGCAAAGCTGAAGCCAAAAAAATCCACACGCTCAAGGAGAACATCCCCAATCCACCCGTTGGTGAGGGCTTACCAAACCCCTCAGCTGGGGAAGCAGAGGTGAAAGTGGGGGACCATGCCTTCATCAACGGAGCAGTTCCAGTCAGCCAGGCATCTGCTATCTCCACAAAACACCCCCATGTAGCCAGCGAGCCCCTGGTAGGGACCGTCCCAGTTTTGCCGGCGGGTATAACACAGTTTCTCTCCCTCCAGCAGCAGCCCCCAGTGCACCCCCAGCACCACGCCCAGCAGCCGCTGCCCACGTCCAAGTCCCTGCCCAAAGTGATGATCCCCCTGAGCAGCATTCCAACATACAATGCGGCCATGGACTCCAACAGCTTCCTGAAAAACTCCTTCCACAAGTTTCCCTACCCAACCAAAGCCGAGCTCTGCTATCTGACCGTAGTGACCAAGTATCCAGAAGAACAGCTCAAGATCTGGTTCACAGCCCAGAGGTTGAAGCAGGGAATTAGCTGGTCCCCTGAGGAGATTGAGGATGCCCGGAAAAAGATGTTTAACACAGTCATTCAGTCTGTGCCTCAGCCCACCATCACCGTGTTAAATACTCCCTTGGTCGCCAATGCTGGCAACGTCCAACATCTCATCCAGGCTGCTCTCCCAGGTCATGTCGTGGGACAGCCAGAGGGCTCAGCAGGAGGACTTCTGGTCACTCAATCACTGATGGCCAATGGGTTGCAAGCGACAAGTTCATCTCTCCCCCTGGTTACGTCTGTTCCCAAACAGCCCACCGCTGCACCTGTTAACACTGTGTGTTCAAATACATCATCAGCCTTGAAGGTGGTGAACGCAGCCCAGTCGCTCCTCACAGCGTGTCCCAGCATAACCTCCCAAGCCTTCCTTGATGCGAGCATCTACAAAAACAAGAAATCTCATGAGCAACTGTCAGCTCTTAAAGGGAGCTTCTGTCGGAACCAGTTCCCGGGACAGAGTGAGGTAGAGCATCTGACCAAAGTGACCGGCCTCAGCACCAGAGAGGTGCGGAAATGGTTCAGCGATCGGCGCTATCACTGCCGGAACCTGAAGGGTTCCAGACCCATGATGCCCAGCGACCATGGCACCATCATCATGGACAACGTCCCAGAGGTGCCCTTTGCCTTGCCCCCCAAGGCCCCTGAGGCAACCTGCGTCTCGACAGCAGCCACACTAGTGCCCCACCCTTCTGCCAAACGCCAGTCCTGGCACCAGACCCCTGACTTCACACCAACCAAATACAAGGAGAGAGCCCCCGAGCAGCTCAGAGTCCTGGAGAGCAGCTTTGCACAAAACCCTCTTCCTCTTGATGATGAACTGGACCGCCTGAGAAGTGAAACCAAAATGACCAGGAGAGAAATTGACAGCTGGTTTTCAGAGAGACGAAAAAAAGTGAGCGCTGAGGAGATGAAGAGGGCTGATGAGTGTGTCCCTCGGGAGGAAGAGGCAGCAGCGGAGGACGAGGGTGGCGAGGATGAGCCGGCCAGTGACCTGAGTGTCTCTGGTGAAAACGGCTCCCTGGAAGGCTCGAGCAGCCAATCCCTGACAGAGCGCAAAGTCAGCCCCATCAAAATCAACCTCAAGAACCTGAGGGTCACGGAAGCCAATGGCAAAAGCGAGCTTCCAGGGCTGGGCCTCTGTGACCCCGAAGACGATGGCTCATGCAAGCTGGTGGAGCAGCCCCCAGGCAAAGTGAGCTACAAGAAGTCAGCCCAGCAGCGGCATGTGCTGCGGCAGCTGTTTGTCCAGACCCAGTGGCCCAGCAACCAGGACTATGATTCCGTCTTGGCCCAGACGGGTCTGCCGCGCTCAGAGGTCGTGCGCTGGTTCGGGGACAGCAGATACGCCCTGAAGAACGGCCAGCTCAAGTGGTACGAGGACTACAAGCGGGGCAACTTCCCACCTGGGCTGCTGGTCATTGCCCCTGGCAACCGGGAGCTGCTGCAAGACTATTACATGTCGCACAAGATGCTGTACGAGGAGGACCTGCAGAGCCTCTGTGACAAGACCCAGATGAACTCCCAGCAGGTCAAACAGTGGTTTGCTGAGAAAATGGGCGAGGAAACCCGGGCTGTGGCAGACACGGGCAGTGAGGAGCAGGGCCCCAGCACAGGAGAGCACACGGCTGTTCACAAAGGGCTGAGTGCTGCCTCTTCAGAGGAGCACAGGGAGTCATGGGATCCCACTGCCCCGGAGGCCAGCTCTGAGCCCTGTGACACCTCAAGTCCCCAGGCTGGACTTCAGCTAGGTAAGGAGTCCATGAGGGGGCGGGGGGCGGGCGGCGGCTCTCCTCTGGGGTGAGGGTGGGAGTGCTAAGCGGGCAGGCTGAATTTATTGCCCAGTGGGTATCTCTCTGCTGCTTCCAAGGTAGCCTGGCTCCTCAGAGGACAGCTGACAGCAGAAGCTATAGGAGGGCTGGGTGTAGTTTGTTTTGTTTTGTGTCAAAGAACACAGTGACCCTACAGAGGCCTGAGCTATTCTAGAGGTTTCTTAGCAGTAGGAGAAAGGATTCTGAGGGAAGTGCAAAGCACAAAAGAAAAGCGAAAGAGAGGTCAAAATATCAGAAACAGCTAGTACCACCACCACTGGAGAGGAGAAAGAACTAGGACTTTTGAAGAAATTCAGCTCAAATTGGTGAACAAAATGAAAGAAAGCCGTTAATTGCTGCTAGATGGATGAAGTGTTTGTCGTTTCATTTAATCCTGAAAATCTTGTCATTTGTGCCTCTATTGTTCTTTCTGATGTAGAAGAAACCGTTCTCATAATGGAAATCACACTTGAGGACGAATGTTGAATCAAGAGCTTGACTTTTGATCCTCTGCTCATGGAATGTTAGTACCTGAAAATAAAATTCAGCTGTTTTCGGGGTTGTTTTTTTTTAACCACAGTTTTGAAACCACAGACCAACCACATTATTAGATGCTGATTTTCCAGGAGCTTGGTCCTCATCTCCATTATAGGTCCACTCATAGCATCAGGAGATGCAGTGTAGCTTCTCACCAAAGGCTGTAGGAACTGATAAGGATGTACAGCCTCCTTTTCCTGGCAGGTGAACCTGGAGAAGTTGGATCTGGGGTCTGTTGTTTCTGGACTTTACCTTGTTTTTGCTCTAGGCCCTCAGAAACAGAGCAGGGGTGTCAGTCAGTGGCACCTGTTTGTGGCTGGTTTCATGGGACCGTTGGCTATGTTTTCTAGCACTAGCCACCCTCAGGATGCCTGGACCTGGCTTTAGAGCTGCTCACTAAACAGCATGATTTCTGAGGTCCAGAGCATTTAGCAGACCAATTTAGTTCATTTAGAAATTATAATTATGAATTTAAATTATATTCAGTTGTAATTCAATAATAGTCAACTTTTAATAATTAACACTGGCAAAGCAATTCCATAAGGGCTCACTAGGGACTATGTTTAAAGAAATGTGACCAGAGTGTACCCTTTCCCACTAAATTTCAAATGTGGTACCTCTTGTCTTGGCCAGGTATAAGCAGAAAATGAACAAAAAAAATCGTTTTATGCAATCTTTTGTTATCAGAGTTAACCCAGTTCCACATGGCTTTTTTTGTTGCTAAAAGTTTTTTGTGTGAATTGAGTGAAAGTTTACAGACAAGATCATCAGCTTTACATTCAACAGATCAGACACTTTGTTTCATCTCAATGATTGCAAACCCCTCCACACAACACAGTCATCTGACTCCTGTGGCTACTGTTTCCATCCCACCCATCCCTTCTCAACTTTCTCCTTAAGTCAGTGATGCCACTTTGCTCTTCAATGGTTGAGCATACCTTGCTAGTGTTGTTCTTTGCCTGCCTATTGCGTAGCTGAAAATTGGGCCACGAGCGTGAGTTCCTGTCCAGACCTGAAGGGTGGTTAAGGGGCCATAATGCTGGATTCCTCCAGTTTTTCTTTGATTAGTAAATCTGGTCTTTGAGAAAAGAGCTTTGCACAGAACTTTTCTTTAGCTCTGAATTACCACTTCCTGGGTCTCTGAAGCTTCTGATGATCAAGTCACCCATGTTTGCTTCAGAAATCACGTAGTGGGCATGCTGGGAATGGATTTGAGAGATGGTGGGAGGTGCTGAGGGTCTTGGATCCAAGGGGACAGTAGAAATGGAGAAGGTTTGGCTTAGGGGCAGGCTGTGGGCCTTAGAGTCAGGCCGCACCTGGTGGGCTGGAGCCCCCCTCTGTGGCCTTGGGTGTGGAACTTGACTTCTGAACTCCAGTACCCGCCTCTGTAAGACAGCGCTACTGCCACCTGCTTGGTGGAGATGTGTGTGAGCTGCCTAGCGGCAGTTCTGGAAAGGGAAGGTCGCTCCGATTCTAAGGAAAAGAAGGGGACTCCACGGGACTTGGTGGTTGAGAGAAACAGAAGGGATTTCTGACAGGATGGTTGGTGGCCCCCTTGACTGAGGTAAAGAACTCTGGGGAGGAGCAGGTCTGCCTCGGAGCTTCTGTAGACCTCCCTGTGGGTGTCTGCAGCAGGCACTGTGCTGAGTCAGAAGATCTGGGGAGAGGTAGAATTGGAGCCAGAGGTGTGGGTGTCTGCAGCCAGGTGGATGGGGCTGAAGGGAGACAACGGAGGGTGATCTGAGAGGTTGGGCAGATGGGGGAGCAGCATCCAGGAAGCTGAGCTGGCCATGGTTGCGGCTGCAGGGAAGCACCCAGGAAGTGTGCATGGAGCTAGGGACTTTATCCCTGTAAGCCTCAGTGTGGAGCCTCTGTGAGTCCCCTGCCCAGGGCCAGGCCTAGCGCTCTACCCCCCTCCCCCACTGGCACCAGCATTTCCTGGACATGGTCAGATGGCTCCCACACCACCGCAGAACATTGTGGTATGTTTACTTCAACTTGGCAGACCCCAGCTCTTCCACCTGGTGGCTTTCCACCGAAGACCTGTAACTCCAGACCCACTGCCCTCGAGTTCATTCAGACTCAGTGACCCTATAGGACAGAGAAGAACTGCCCCCTGGGGTCTCTGAGGCTGCAGTCTTTGCAGCAGGCGCCAGGTCACTGGCCCTGAACCACCAGCCTTTGAGCAGCTGAGCACTTTAACCGTGGTGCCGTTTAGACTCCTGTGATCTGTAGAAAGGACACGATTTCTGTTCTTTTTTGGAATATTTTTAACTTATTTGAAACCTTTTTTGAAACATAGTTATATTACTGTTTCTTCTTCATGGAAGGAAAAGGAGACTTGGGAGTCTGTCCAGGATTGTGGAGGGGAGCCAGGTTGTCCATATGGTTGGCGTCTGAAGAACCCTGTTCTGGTGGTGCTCACAGACTGGGGGTGGGGCCCGGTCAACAGTGGGGGGTGAGCACACAGGGCTGTGGGCCCTTCCCTGGGCCTCACTGCTCACAGCCGGCTGGCTGCCCTGTGTCCTGGAGTACAGCTCTGGGCTTCTTGTGCTTACTCATGAGCCGTGAGAGTGTCTGAATGAATACACTGTGCACGCTGACCTGAAGCCGGGCTGTGGCTTTGAGTCACTAGCACAGTAAAGTGCTGTCCTTGTTGGGCAGATGGTAAGAGGGTAAGAGGCTAGAGGCAGCCAGGCCCTTGTGGCAAGGACCCTTCTGAGGAAGTCAGAGCAGGGTACAGGAAGGGCTGCTCTGCTCACCCCCACCTGCTTTTCCCAGGCCACACCTGTGGCTGTTGCATTTGACTTTCGGGTTTGAAGCTCTAGATGAAGCAGAGACCTCAGTAGGATGTATCTCATAGCAGTACCGAGGAGCGGGAGGCCCCTCTCCTGCTGGCCACCCTGGGGCTTGGCAGTGGTCACTGGACAGTCTGGAGGCCTAGGCAGACTTGGCCGTATCCTGCCCCAAACCCACAGACACTTTTTCACATGCCCTTCAACTAGGAGGCCAGCAGGAAGGCACTGCACATGGCGACAAGTGGTCCCGAAACAAATGACATCACCCTGCCTGGCCCGGACCGGCTGCCTTGGGGTCGGTATGAGGAGAGCCTGACATGGACATGACAGGCATGTGTTTTCTCCTCAGAAACGGACTGAATGGGAACCGATCACTGTGAAGGACTGGCCAGTCTGGGATGCCGCCTGTCACACGGAAGGGCCAGCCTCACCCTGCTGCCTGATACCATTCTCATGCCCGGCCGCTGGGCATCTGAGAGTGTTGGCAGTGGCCTTGAAGCCAAGCAGATGGTACCATCCCCATCGGCTGCCACCAGAGCAAGAGAGACTGGGATTCTCATCAGTTCTTCCCACAATGTAGTACCTCCCCTCTGCCTTCCAATGGCTAAAATCGTTCCGATTTCATATCCATAGAATCAACTGTTTAAAATAGACATCGCTTATACACATTTAATAAAATGTCAGATTATAAACACTTTCATTATGTAGAAACTTTGATTAACGAACAGTGCTTATCTTTTGCATCATCTCTGAAAATGCCTTGTGTCTGTCTGTCCTCTGGAGATTCCTGGAGCCTCTTCTCCCCACAGTGGCGCAGGGAGGTCCCTCCACACGCAGAGCTTCACCCAGAGCCCCTGGGGCCCCGCTTACCAACTTGGTGTCCCTCCAGGAACTCAGTGCTTTAAAACTGAGCAGTAACAATGCTTTATGCCAGACTTGTCCTGCCTTGTGGGGTGACCGCGGTTCCAGAGTTTAAAAACTGGACTGGTGGTTTGACTAGTGTGCAGTGCATAAGGGTCTCTTCACAGATGTGGGAATCATGGACCATCATTTTTCAGTTGTCAGACCAACTAAAGAAACATTTGTTCTAAGCTTAACATACTGATCGAGCACCTGCTCGCTCCTTGCCCTCCCCCGCATCTAGACACTTGAGAGCAGGAGGGAGCAGAGGAAGGTGTGTGACCAGGGCCCGAGAATGACCACTGTGATTGTAGAGCACTTGAATCACATCCACTTTAAAGGCCACATGGTTTGTGAAGGAAGAGCCACACTTGCCTCGTTCTGGAAATGAGTGGGGAAGGGACTTGGCATAATGATCAGAACTGGGGTGACGTCACCTTCAGCATAAAGAGCTGCAAGTAGGAATCCCTGACAAAACCTCCAATTGCTTCTGGCCTTTCATGCCAAGACATAGTTGTGAAGATGTTCTTAAATGTTCCAATCACACGGAAACACGCCTACGGTGCCGTGGAGTCGGTTCCAACTCATAGCAACCCTGTACAGGGTTTCCGAGTAGAGCCTATAAATCAGTCTGAGAATAGGGGAGTGGGGAGTGGGGAACGGGGTGCATGAGTGTGGGTGTGCACCCGCCCGCACACCCACACGCGCAGTGGCAGGAGGCACATCACCTGTCAGTCCTCTCACTTTCTTGGAACCCA